TTTGAAAAAAAGCATTTGCCAAGCTCCTTACTTCACCACTCCAGAAGTCCTGACATACCCCCAGCCCCCAGACCCAGGCACACTCTTATTTTAGGCCAATACTACTACCAACTATTTATTCAAAATTGGCTTCATTTTAATTGAAAATCTAATCTTTCTCCAAGAGCCATTAATGGCTCTATCAGCATCTTGAAAGCATTAGGGGGCCTTAGAGGGAACCATCTTGCTGAATATAAACCACATGTTTCCCCCACCCCAGACTTCAGGCCTCACTGAAATGGGGGCATCTACCTATAGATGCCTACACGCTGCCTCAAGGTACTTGGGGGTGGGTAGAACAGGGCTTTTCTGGCCCTCTTCTGTGATGGATGAAGTGTTAAGAAAACAGGTTCCTAAGCATAAAGCTGCCTCATGTGATTTCTGATACCCAACAATACAGTTGAAACCACATTATTATCCAGCCTCTGACTTCCTCCGCCCAACATTTATTACAGAAAACCTCCACAGGACCCTGAAAACCTCAGAATTCCACATAACAAACTATTCACACACCAGTAAAGCCCTTCAGGGCCACAGTGTCATGTGGGTAATTGGCAAGAACCTCTTTAAAAGAGATTCCATTCAATAATGTGTCTTTAAAAAAAAAACTTAGCTAAACTTAAAGCTGAGCATCAAGTAATTACACTCTCAATCTTTCCAATTGCACAGTGTTTTGAAAATGTCACAAATTACAACCAAATGCTGCTGGAGGATATTTTATTGGTGGTTTTCTGGACCCCAGTAAAGGTGCTGGCCATAAGAGTGGAAAGGAAAAAGTCTGCATATTTTTCCTGTGGAACCAATGTAAGCAGAGCATATAGACAAAATAGAGATGATACCCATTGAAATACATATATTTAATGATCTCGATCTTTGATTTTTTTTTTTTGGAAAGAGAACGAATATATAGCCATAAGACATGAAAGTTGCTATGGAAAAGACTTACTGAAGCAGCAAATTTTTACAAGAGACAAACAAGTCATCTAAGGGGTGATATATCAAGAAATAAGGCAAGGGTGTGGCCACTCACACATGCATGAGGTTATTCAGGACTGACCCAAGGGCAGGGTAAATGTCATGGGCCTTCTCAAACCTCAATTCTGCTTTCAGCCAGGACCCATAGGCTAGGTGGGGATTTGTATAGATCTACTGCCAAATTCTGTCACCTGGAGCCCTTGTAAACAACGGTTCAGAATCATTCACTTATTCCTTCACTTGACACACCTTTATTGTGACATTCCTTATGTTAAATGCTGAGGATACAGATGTTGGGCATTCAAGGCCCAGTTCTGGAAGCCATTATATCATAGGGAAGCAGTGAAACAAATAAACCACCTAAATTAATAGAATCTGATTAGTATTTTCTATGGTCTGACATTTCCCCAAAATCATGTGTTGAAACTTAATCCCCACTGTGATGGTATTAAGAGGGGAGGCCTTTTGGGAAATGATTAATTCATGAGGGCTCCACCCTTATGAATGCATTACTGCCACCATTAAAGGGCTGGAGGGAACTATCTTAGGACATTTTTTCCCTTTTGCCTTTCACCATGTGAGGACACAGCAATAAGGTGCTATCTCAGAAGCAGAGACCAGGCCCTCACCAGACACCAGACTTGCCAGTGCCTTGATCTTGGGCTTCCCAGCCTCTAGAACTGTGAGAAATAAATCTGTATTATTGATAAATTACCCAGTCTCAAGGATTTTGTTATAGCAACACAAACAGATAGTATTACTCAAAAAAAAAAAAAAATTAAAACACATAGGTTGCAAACTGGCACCCAGGGGTTAATCTAATTACAAATATGTTTCCTTTAACTACATAACTATTTGTTTTTAAATCTGAATTTCAGAGGAAAACTACGAAATCCAACCTCACATACATAGGTTTGCAAAGCAAAAACCCTACCGACCTATGCATGCCCAGTTCTTGGCAGTGCAAGGGGTACTTGACTGGTATTTGTTTATCAATTCTGTTTAAGTAGGCAAGCAGTTGACAAGTATAAGAAGTTTAAGGAAAATGAAGGAGAAGAAAATAGGCTTTTCTCAATTTTAACTTTATCAGTAGGGAAAAGTCAGCCATGATTCCATTTTAGCAGTGGAATACTCACTCTTCTATGATTTGCAAAGGACAGTTTACATCTGCTACATCTCTTCTTTTGAGATGTAGCTGAACAAACAAAGAAAAGAACATGGGAAAGCTGGAGGTGGAAGACAATAAAGCATAAGTATCAGGTTAGTTTTTTTCTCTGTATGTTCTTATCTTGTTGGTTTTTTTGTTTATGACAGCCACAGAAGCTGTGATTTTGTTTACTTTTTTTAAATTTAAGACAGCCACAGAAGTTGTGATGTGTTCTTATTTTGAGGGGTAAGTAGTTTGCCAAGGAGGGACAAAAAGAGCTGTTCTTTAAATAACACCACTGGGCCTTCTTCTGGGATGGCCAACCCCTAAGGCAGGCAGGGAGTATTCTTCACTCCCCTACCTCTCCCTGCACCAAGGGCAAGGTGGGGGAGAGAAACTGAGCTGAGCAGACAGTTGTTCTAAAGAGCCTCTCACTACACCAAGACTCATGAAGCAAGGGGGCCCACAAAGAGGGTGTGAAGGAAAGGGGAGTTTGTAGCTGGACATGTCCTGTCTCCTGTCCCTATTCCTTACTCCCTCCCCCATTAGAAGAAAACACTCTTCCACTTTCATTCCTCCGTCCCACCTGTTCAGTGTCTGTGGTGCCCTGTTTCTGGTCTTCCTATAAACACTAGCTGAAAAGGGAAAGAACACACTTTGTAGAGGAAAAAGTCCTGCCCTACCCTGAACCTGGTTACATGGACTCCTTTGTAAAACACCCACATGGTGCCTGCCATGGAGGGGAGGGGTAATTGGCAAAGAAAAAGACAGACAGATGCTTGCCCCCTTGGAGCTTACGGTCTGGCTGAGGAGACAAATGTTAAACAAAACTAATGAATGACAAGACAGAGGAGTGCAAGGCACCAGAGAGCATCCAGCCTGCGTGGGGGAAAGTCTGGCAATGTGACATTTCAGCTCCTAGCTGAAGGATGAGTTCTAGAGCAAGGAAGCAGAGGGCTCTATACAGAAGGAATCACATGTGCTAAATGCCCTGAGGCAGAAAAGAGATAGAGGAAGAAAACTGGAAAAAGGCTGGTGCAGAGGGACTCAGGGAGGAGAAGCCAGGACCTCCATGGCATCGGCGGAGGCAGTCAGGTTTGGGATGCTATCCTAAGAACCACAATGATTATTTGAGGGGTTTTAAGCAAAGAAGAGGTCAAACTGGATTGCCATTTTTAAAAGACCTCTCTTCTTCCTTTCTGTGGCAAATGGATAAGAGCTGACAAGTCTACAGATATGCTCAGGTGTGTGCCCAGGTGTAGACATGGAGAAGGCAGGATTAGGGCTTTGCCAGAAGGGAACAGTGAAAGAACAAAAGGGAGAGAGAGTTCAGAGTATCGGCAGGAGATGGGCTGCAATGATATAACATGGAATAGGCTCCATGGGGAGAAGGAAGGATGAGGTGTCAACAGATGGGAGTTCCCAGCAAGGCCAAGGACTGTTATGGTGGGAGCAGCTAAAAGAACAAGCCAGAAGGACAGGATGTTGGGGTGCACAAAGCCTTTGGAGGTGGGGCCATTTTGGGGTATGATAACATTGGGAACGTAGCTTGATGAAAGGTGGCTATGAGGAGTGTTAGGAAAGGAAGCTAAAGATAAGAAAGTCAAAGGACAGAGCCCAGGTTGCTGAAGAGGCCCACACCAGTCCAGCCCCGAGTCTCAGTTCCTGGAAGAAGCAGAGAAGCTCAACCATACCCGAGGTCTTCCAGAATGACAGATTTAGAGCTCCTTCTAGGAAGAGTCTTCCATCCCTCCAGCCTCCCTACTCCAGCCTAAATGCTTCACTTGACTTAATAGAAGCAACCCTCATCACAGTCATTTAGAGGTCCATGAACTGTTTAGCGTGTCCTTCCAGAGCAACAGTGGGTATCCTAGCAGGAGTTTTCGATTGCAAACCTGGCCTCCATTCCCATAGTTTCAGTCTTGTGGCCGAACTCCACAGAGCAGGCGTCCACTATACTGCTTGCCCAACACCTATGGCTGCATGTCTTGTCTCTCCTGCTAGATGACAGGGACAAGGGCGGGTCATTATACTTCCTTCACAGTTCCCAGGACTATGCCTGCTAGATAATAGGTACTCAATAAGGAATGAAGGAACTCATTGACATAAAGCTCAAGACTATAATAGCAAAACTAATCTAAGATATTAAAGCTTGGCATAATTGTCACATTCTGGTTGGGGAGGGTGAGTGAAGGCAGTAGGAATGTTATATTTTTTGATCTGGGTGTGTTCAGTAGAAATTCACTGGTCTATGTAATTATGACTTGTATACTTTTCTGTACATATGTTACATTTCAATTTTTTTTAAAAGGGATGAAGGAATCACTCAAATTGGTTGCAGAAACCAATTTAGCTTGAACTTCAAATGCTTCCCCAGTGCAAGACTCAAACAGCAAGCTAAGGCAGGGGTTGGCGAATATTTTCTATAAAGGGCCAGATATTAAGTGTCTTAGGCCTCACAGGCCATAGGGTCTTTTTCACAACTACTCAATTTTGCCATATAGCACAAAAAGTAGCCACAGATAATGCATAAATGAATGAGTATGGCTGTGCTCCAATAAAACATACTTATGAACACTGGGCTCTGAATTTCATATAATTTATAATTTTCACTGTCCTGAAATGATATTCTTTGATTTTTTTAATTATTTAAAAATTTTTAAACCATTCTTAGCTCTCCAGCTATACAAAAACAGGTGGCTGGCCAGAGCTGGCCTAGGAGGAAATAGTTTGCCAGTGACCCTTGCACTAAGGTGATGTGCACATAAAACACATTTCCTGGCTTGCACACAGGCTTGGCCTATCCTACCCCTACTCTGCCCCTCAAGCACTCACCCACCTTTATAAGTAGGCAAACACTCCATCTTGTTGCCACATGGATATTTACTGTCCCGAGGTTTGATGGGGTCCGTGCGACAGACAGGATAGGGGTTGTAATCTTGTTTGTATGTTGTGAGCAAATCCATATTCTCTTCACTTGGGACAAACTGCTTGTGCTGGTAGAGCTTCACTGGTACCACTTTGTGAGGCCCAAAATCTCTCCTGTAAGGAAAATAAGTGCATGTCGTTGGGGTCCTTGGCTTGGAATAAGGCTTAAATTTTCCAGTCAACCTAACTCTACAAACATTTGCTGAGAAGTCATCGTCTACTCTATCCCCCAACTCCAACTGCTCTTCTCTATTTCCCACTTTTGAAAAAGGCACCACCATTTCCTTCTCAGCCAAGCCAGGCACCTGGACATCATCCCTGACTCCCTCCCCTTGTGGCCCCAGAGTCTGTCGTTCACCAAGTGTGGCCCTTCCACCTCATCGGCTTTTCCTTCCCCCTTGGTCCAGCCCAGGGCCATTTCTCACTTGGATCAGGTGGTAGCCTACCCCTGAGCTTCCTGCTTCTACTTGAACCCCACAGTATGGCCAGAATAAACTCTCTAAATAAAGATAAGATCATTTCTCTCCCCAGCTTAAAAGTCTTCCAGATGAAAATCCAACTTTCTACCATGATTTATAAGCTTTCCTGGACCTGGGCCCTGCCTTACTCCCCAATTCTCACCTCCTGCCATCCCGACCCTGCCTGACCACACTGCGCTCCCACCACCAAAAAGGGCCCCTCTTCCCAGCCTGCTCTCTCCCCCTTCCTCCCACCCACCCTCTTCACTGTGAAGCTAACTTCTTCCTTCCAGGCACCACCACCTCCCTGTGTTCCCAAGCTTCTCCTGCTAATGTTTATCTCCTTCCTCTACTTGACATCACAGAAAGAAAAAAAATGCAATATATGGAGATTCTGAATCTTTCATTTCTCCACTATCTGGTGTCAGTGTCCCCGTTACTTCAGGGAGTATGAAAACAATAGGATTGAAAAAGCATGATGGCCCTCACCAAGCAGGAAGCAGTCCCTTGTCAAAGCATCCCACAGTGACAAAAAGGCCCCACTGCTCACTGCACACCATCAGGAACCCTGGCCACACTGTGACTCAGCTTGGGCTTGTGCTGCCCACCAGGGCAGTCTCAACTTCCCACTTCTCAACACTAGCACTTTCTTCCCAAGGGCTTCTGCTTTACGCAACAGACCATTTTTGCCTGGAACCCCTTTATGCTATCGGACAAGGGGAAGGTGGATTTTCCCTGATGGTGCTTGCCAGAACAGCCCCACCAAGGGAAGGGGAAGGTTTCCGGACAGGAAAACATTAGGCCCAAACACCAATAAAACCTACTTCCCGGCCACAATCTGGAGCAGTGTTACTAAGCCATGCTTGACTAGCAAAGGTAACACGCTCCACTGTAACCTGTCTTGCATGAATTATACACGTGGCTGTCAATAAACACAAACCGGGTGCTGAAACTGCTAGGGATGGGATGGGAGGAAGGAGTTAGGAAGCAGGAGAATTAGTCTCTCTAGGGCTCTAAGGAGGAAATGGGAGATGCTTCAGTTGAACTCCCATAACACCCTCTGGGTAGATTTGAAAATATACTGTAGCCAGAGTTACAGGAGGTTCAACCTGCACTCCCTTCCCAGGGGCCCCACTGTTGGCCTGAGGTGTCTGGAAGCTCACTGTGGATATCCGGGCTTACCGGGCGAACAGGCTGAACAAGAAGCCAAGGGTCAGCTTCACACTTTCACCCTTATTAGTGAACAAGTGTCTCACCCTGATGTGTGTTCAGTACTAAACCAACTGCAGCCTAAAATCTTAGGCTACAGAGACACACGGAAATGCCCAGAAAACCCTGTCTGAAAACCAATTAACTGGAAAAGGGCTTTTGGTTGGAGAGTTTGCCTTCTAAAGGGAGTGCCCCCAAGGGAAGCTGGGCTCTCCTCACTCACTCCCAGAAGGGATGGAATGGGGTTTTGAGGCAACCTGAGACTATACATTGCTAAACCCTCATAAACCCACGTTCATTGACAGCTACCCAAGCCTTCAACCCTCTTCACTTCCAAGCAGCATCAGAAGACACTAAGGCCAAGCGGTGAGGAAAAAAGCCAAGTGGTGAGGAGCTGCCAAGTCGAGACCTCTAACCTCAGAGCACCCAGGATTGCTTTCCAGCTGTGGGCCTGCCATGCTCACGGACCCTGCACACGGAGGCCATGGCATCCTCTCCTGCTGTTACTGCTACTGAGGGAGCCAATTTCCTCTCAGAGATGCTGTGAGAACCTTCCTTCAAGGGCTACCAGGCTCTCTGACAACTAGAGCACACTGAATGTCCCTGTCTCCTGCTGCTTCTACAGGAAAAAAGCAGGTAAGTGCCCACAACCATACTCGCCAGTTGCTGAACTATCCTGACACTGGTTTCTCAAAGACAAAAGCGAATGCAGCAAAATCCTTGCTCATCACATTTAGAGAATGAAATTGTTAATCTCCTTCTCCAGCATAAAATTTAACTTCCTTTGTAAATGTGTATCTATGGTTGAATTTATTGATCAGCTATAACTAAGGCAAACGATTATGAATAAAAAATTATCTACTTCTGAAGACAGGAAAAAGTTTAAATTTAAAGTTTGATTTATATATACCCTACCTGAAAATAGTTACTGTGGCTTCAGAGTGAATTTAATCAGAATTTATGTGTTTCCTCACTATGTTTTTATGTTGGGAACACTCACTGAAACCTATCATTAACCACAACATAGCTGCATGTCCCCAATCACACATAACCTTACAGCTTTTAAGTTCATGTCAAAGTCTTTATTCTTCCCCACAACTGCTCAGATTGAATAGCTTTTTTCAATTATTATATTTTAAGGACACTGGCTCTCCCCTCTTTTCCTATGGTACATTCTCCAGTCCCTGTGCCCATTGTGACTATGAACTAAGAAAAAAAATATTGGTCAAAGATGTAAGTTTCTTTTGGGAAAGTAGCTATAAAAGTTATATAGTATGGAAGGCCAAGAGTTAAACTCAGAGTTAAGTAAAGGTCAAAGTGGCCCCTCTGGGGAAGTCATAACAACTTGACTTCAAATCATTTGGCAAAGCTAAAGAAAGGTGTTTGACGAGAATATGACAAAGGGAAAAAGGAAATAACAGCTAACTAGGGTCAGGAGCCTGGAAATGGGAAATGGAGATTTTCACCATGACAAAGGGGCCATGCAACACTTATTTTTAAATCTGTGTTTAATGTTTGTCTATGCAAACCTCAGAAATTGTTAATGTGTCCAAGTAAGAGGAGTCCCTCCTCTTGCCCAAAGCAAAGCTTTCACCCCTACCCTGAATCCCACCCCTCCCTTTCTCAGGAAGCTCATCTGTGGACACCTCCTAGACTGTGGCTTTCCCTCCTCCTCCCTACAGGGAGGGTTGTCTCCCATCTTTAAAGGTAAGAAATAAAACATGACAACCCTCACGGGGCTCCATTCTCCTCCAGTTCTCTTCTCCTTCCCTTCTGTGAGTACAGACTTGCCTTCCTCACCTCCCACTCGTGCCACACCCCTCCAGTCTGATTCTACTCACGCCTTGCTCTAGCCATGGCCTCCAATGCTGCCGTTTCCAGATCCAATCGCTCTTTCTCCTGATTCCACTGTGTCCTGGTCATAGCATCTATCCTTTCACTCACTGTTTAAATACCCTCTCCCTTGATTTCTATGATATAAGACTATTCCTCATGACTTGTTCCCTCTCAGTCTCCCCTATGGGGTTTTGCTCTTTGTCCATTGATTTATTATTTCTACATGTAATTCTCAAACTTCCCAGGGTCAAAAGGCACCCTCTAAGGAAACCAGTTGGTCATCCCAGGCAGCTTGGGGAGCTCATCCCAATACACCGAGAAAGATCCCTCAGCTGAGTCACAGGGCTTGATTCGTGCCCCTGATCCTGACGGGACAGAATCCTGGTCTCACTGTGACCGATGGCATTCCAAGCACATGCCCTCCAGGACCAAGTTACACAGTCCCTATCTCCTCCTCTACCCTCTCAATGCCTCAACCCCACCAAGGCTGAGGCTAATGTCTGCCCTCGCTTCATACACACTCTGGACAAAATAGAAAAATCTACCTAAAAGTACTAGAGAGTGACCCAAACAGGCAGATCTGGAGGCGGCCAACAGATGGAAGAAGAAAATGGCAGTCTGACAGTTAAAAGGCAGGTCTTTCTTGACTATCTTTTCTTGACCAAAGAACCAAAGGATCAACTTTGAGGCAACCACAGGTGCTGGAAAATGCGGAAGGAATCCCAGAAAGGAGAAAGCCAAAGATAGGAAGCCTCAAATTCTGTGCATAAACTGGGCCCAAATCTCTGCTTGACCTTGCATAGCAGGCAGATTTCAAGCAACTGAGACTTGAATTGCCAACCAAGACACAGAGTTTGCATTCTGAGCCTGTCCAAAAAAAATGCTCTTTGAGGGACTGTAAAAAAAATCTAGAGAGTCTACAATAAATAACATTCACAATGTACAGTATCAGTCCAAAATTACTTGACATACATACAGGAAAATCTGACCCATGCTCAAATAAATAAATAAATAAATAAATAAAAAGGCAATTATGGATACCCACTCCCAAGCAGACTCAGATGTTGGAATTAGGAGACAGGATTTTAAAGCCAAATTTTAACCATGCTCAAGGAGGAAAAGCAAATAAGGTCACAATGAATTAAAGGATAGGAAATCACAGAAGAGAAATAGAAACATGTTAATAAAAATAACCAAATGTAAATTCTAAAACTGAAAAATACAAGATGTGGAATAAAACATTCTTTAGATGAGCTTAATAGCAGAGTAAAGATGCAGGAGGAAGAACTTGGTGAACATGAGACTAGACTTAACAGAAACCATCCAATGTGAAAAAGAAAGAGGGGAAAAAAGATTGGGGGAAAGAAATGGAGCATCGGGGACAGAAGAAAATCCTTGAGAAAATAATGGCCAAAATCTTTGCAAATTTAATCAAAGACAATTCAAAGGCTCTGAAACTGCACAGGTGAGCCCAGAGCAGAGAACAGTATCTGTATGTCTTCATCAGTTCTCAGGCCCAGTCTGTGGAGGCAGGTAAGCATAGCCTCAGTGGTACAGCTCTGAGTAGGGGGTTGAGTATGCATTTGAACAAAAAATGTGTAAAATTCAATGGGTGGGGCAAGACTCAAGGCTGCTACCTGCTTTCTTGCTTCTTTCCCAGCTTTTGGAGGATATCCAATGCCCTTTCTCTCTTAGCTCTTCCCTACCTTACTCTCCTCAGTTTACCAAAGAGTCTCACCAAAAAATGAGGCTATGCTACCAACTCCCTGCCCTCTACCTTTCAGGCAAACCCATCAAGTCTGAACCCAATTCTATCTCCCCACTCTGTGCCTCCCTCCCACTCTACCCACAGTCCTGCTTTCGTTAGGATAAACATCTAACACCACTGAAGACTCACCTCTGTCTTCAGAGGCTATTCATTCTGCTCATCTTTAGGGAGCTGGCTTAGCCAAAAGAAATAAATGTCCCAAACTGGGGCCCAAGTGTTTTACATGGTGACATGCCTAAGGGGAAATGAGGCTTGAAGTGCAAACCTCTTATTCATAAATTGATCTGAGGTCTATCTGAACTAAAGGCAGATCCTATCCTAGAGAATTACCAAGAGCTGCAAAAAACAGTTTCACACTAAGAAGGGCTGGAAATCGCAAGCATTCCCCTCATAGCACCTGCTGTAAATCCCCAAGATTTATGGTCAGTAAGAGTTGTGTGCAGCTGTAATCATGCCTCATGCTGGGATGATAACCTTTCCAGAAACCAGGTGTTTTTTGTGTCTAGGCTTAATCACCAAACCCAGCTAAGCCCTGGGCTACATGACTTTTTCATTCAGCAGGTGGGAGCCCCCGTCCAACCTCAGAAACTAAGTGGGTCAAAGTTTAGATAAAGAAGTGGGTGGGATGTTCCAGTAATTAGTCCTAACGGTAGAGGGGGGACAACTTGTGCAGACACAGGGGCTGAGCCATCCCTTCCCTTTAAGCCCCTGGTAGCACACTCCAGTAGAGGATTCTCTGCCTTTCCTGACAGCAGCAGAATTTGTTCTTGGTCTGTGAAAACTAGTGGCCAGCATGGCAAGCGTAGGGCTGAGAAATAATAAAATCGAAGTAGAAGGGAGAGAATAGACACCTTCTGTTTGTTTCCTTCTTTTGTATTTTCCTAGGACATAGAGGAGAAGAGAGACCCATGTCTGCTCTTTTTCTTACTTGTGGGTCACTTTGATCCTGCCAGTTTTTCTTTTTAATGGCCTTTTGATCATTAACGGCTTATTTTGGAAATTCTTTCAGTATCTGCATTCTTCCACTTTAGCCACATCTTGATGTAAATGATATTTATTGTTACTCTGGCTCTGCCAGAAGCAGAGGGGCCTTCTGGGTGATATGTTTATTGTTGCAAGTAACACAAAGCAAGGATAAATTTAGGACAGGTCAGAGGGTAAGTTTTTGTTTTGCAGGCACCATCAGGAGGAGTGAGGGTATGTGCGGTCGTATCTGGGGCCTTACAGCTTGGTGATGGGGCAGAGTTCCCGCCCGAGCTGAGGGTTTGTCTTAGTTCTAAATTTGTGGGTAACTAACAAAGAGCATCCCTTGACATCCAACCCTCAAAGCATCCTTTTCTAGACTTCCAGGACAGGTGATAGAACGCCTGAAGTCAACTGCACTTTACAACTCACAACGTGCTCTTGATTTCCTGTAAATTATGTAGGAGGCTGAACATAATGTCTGCAAGCCAACCCTCATCACCGCTCTCATCCTTTTCTACCAATTACATGTCTCTTATCCACATGCCTAGCACTCTTCATTGATGTTGACCAGGGTTTCTTAAAAGGAAAACCGTGCTCAGGAATGATCCACATCTCTCTTTGTGGTCTGTAGACTCTCAGAGACCAAGGATGCTGTTTTCTTGGCAAAATGAAGCCCCAACTTTAGGGTTCACATTGTTTAATAAATCATAGGTTGAAAAATGATTACATAAGTTACAATTTTTTAATACATCAGGAACCAGGAACATCATGCTTTAAACTGAATCATTTAAGATACATGCTTAGAATAAAAGTGACCTGATTTGAATCAAGCATCAGACAAGGCCCTCGACTCCCCATCATTCTCTAGCTGCCCCTGCCCAGAAGTCTCTGCCAACCTGAGGATTCCTTTGGCATTTGTCATCCATCCGTGGGTCGTCCTGCCCATAACCCAGACAGGGACTTCCTGTGGATCTAGAAGACAGCAGCTTTTCGTCAATAGGAGTACCTACAACCCACAACCTCATCGGTAGATGATTCTATCCCTATCCCAGGGAAAGCCTAGAGGCAGAAAGAGTTAGAGCTGTTCTGCTTCACCTGAGCCATATGGCACCTTTACTAGCACAAAATTATGAGGCAAATGGGGAGCAATAGGAAGAGAAGGCCCCAGGTCGTGAGCACCTGTAATGTGCAAGCACTATGCTAGAACAATTAACACACACTATCATCTCTACCTCACACAATCCTGCCGTTCAGGGAGGAGGAATGGAGAAGGCAGACAACACATCAGTCTTTCAGGTCTCACCTGGGGACAAAACTGTACCATCTGAGACTCTGCCCATCATACCAAAACATGTTTCTACTCTTCATTCACCAGTCACCGGCCACTACCTGGAGGTCAGTAACCTAATTGTCAATAGCAGATTCTGCTAGAGCCTTACAACATGTGGAACAACCCCAAGACTGAGAATCTTCCTCCATGACCTCAGTACAGACACTCCTACAACACTAATAGACTGAGCCACGTGGCCCAGGCTCTGCACAGACCTGGATCAAACAAATCTTAGTTTGGAAATCAAGAGTAATTGAAAAGGAAATATACTCTGGGGTTTTTTTCAAGACAAAGTCTTTCTCTGTCACCTGGGCTTGAGTGCAGTGGCATCAGCATAGCTCACTGCAACCTCAAACTCCTGGGCTGAAGAGATCCTCCTGCCTCAGCCTCTCGAGTAGCTGGAACTACAGATCTGTGCTACCACACCTGGCTAATTTTTCTATTTGTAGTACCGACAGGGTGGCTCGCTCTTGCTCAGGCTGGTCTCAAACTCCTGAGTTCAAGTCATCCTCCCTCCTCTGCCTCCCAGAGTGCTAGGATTACAGGCATGAGCCACCATGCCCAGCTACTTTGTTCATATTTCTTGAAGAACATTTAGAAGAACTCCAATTCAAAATCTACAGCATAATTTCCAAAACGGCTCATTTTTTTCTCTATTATCAAGTTCTCTTTCACCACCACCACCACCACCCAAGCTGAGCTGGATCCTCTCGTGTGATGAAGCCCAAAACTCCTTTGTCAGCAGCAGCCCCCCGCCTTTTGTGCATCCCTTTATTACTTATCCTCCAACCTTTATTATTTAATATAGAGATCAGTTTAGCCTTCCCCTGCACCTAACCCCGGCAAGCAAGAATCCTTTTTAAGAGGGGGTGTGGGAAAAACCGAGCAGGCTAATAGATGCAGGGTTTTTTTCAGAGATACAGTACATTAGCATTAAGGCAGTCAGTCCATACGCTGATACTGCACGTTAATGCATTAATACTGCACATTGCATTAACATTGTACATTAGGTACTGTGCATTGCTACTTTAGCGTTATACTTGCATACATTGATGCTATTTGTCCTCACCTTGCTGTGGTCAGGCCTTCCATTGGTATGGACCCTTTCCGGTACTCCATCCTGGGCTTGAAGGACTCTCTGGGCAGGTAGGAGTGATAGAGAGGGTAGTTCTCAGTGTATTCGGAGAAAAGACATGGTTTGTCTGTTTTATCATAAATCTTGGTAGGGAGATGTGGACAGTGATGCCGCCTATAAAAGACACATGGAGTTAGGTTGGTTGCCTTCTTGGGAGCAATACATCCATTTTGATAAGGCTACCTACTCCAAATGTGACTCAGACTATAGTAATAGAACCATATGACTGCCAGCATTGAAAACCAGACTTTAACCCTTCTTTTTTTCAACTAAACCATGTGAAGTAGCCTGAATTTAGAAGACAGTTAATCAAAATTCCTTTGGTCATAAAATTACACTCAAGCATGGCTGGTGTTCAGCTGCTACACATGCCACACTACTTTTTATAAACACTGGAATACTTCCATACCATAATAGAAAGTAGCTGTGGTCCCCAAGCTCTCTGAGTGCCACCCAGCTGCCCCACACCCTCCCAACCACCCAGTAAATAAGGGCTTAATACTGACCTAACAGGGTGCTCCAAGCCTCTGCTCTAGGTCCAGGTCAATGTCTTTTCTAACTGGCCGGTTCCTAGGCTGATTCAGAATATCAGCACTGCACACACGTGGCATCACACAAAGCAAAACCACCTCAGTTGAGTCCACTAAACACCATGTGAAACCATCTTCACATTGAAAGTCTCATTCATTTATCCTTTCAGGTCACACCTCAGTTACTATATCCTTAGGCTTTCCCTGGTCATGTTATACCTAAAATATACCCCACACCTCCTGCCCTCTCCTCAGCCCTCTTCCCTGCGCGCGCTCACGCGCGCGCGCGCACACACACACACACACACACACACACACACACACATATATACACAATTTCATTACCTTGTGTGTGCCTTTCTCATCACTTACTCTTATCTGTAATTGGTGTGTCTAGTGAGTTTATCGTCTGTCTCATCTGAAAAACTCAGGACCTATTCAATCTTTCTCACTGCTACATCCCTAGTACCTCATATCCTGCCTGGCACATAGTACACACTTAGTAAACATTTACTGAATGGATGACTGAGTATATAATTGAGTGATTAAGTAAACTTTACGCCTTGTTATTAATGAATTGACCAAATGATAGAGAATATTCTTAAGTTATAATTTGAGCTTTCCCATTTTACATGCGTGGTAATAAATGAAAATTATTCTGCTTACAGCTGGACTGAGGGCAGCTGTTGGAGCTGTCAAGAACTAAGTACACAGTGTACCAGTTACTTGTGTGCCCACAGACAATCCTTACAAACCATTTGGGATGCCTCTCGTCATCAGCCACCAGCACGTATGTAAAACTTCACGTTAGGGATTTCCAAATTAGTTATATCAGGGAATGGCATAGAATTGTTTTCACGTTTTTACACTGGACTGATTTTAATCACAAAAACTAAAATGCAGTACTCTGGGGCAGCACACGGGGGAAGACAGAGAAAATGAGAGAGAGAGAGACACTAAGAATTCATCACCGCTCTAACATAAAGCCATTTTTCAGGCAACGATCAGCAAGCTGCTCCTGTTGTTCCTAAGTTCAACCTTTCCGTAAACATTGCTACCCCCACTGCTGTTACTATTAATATATACTTCTTTCCAACCCCACCACCCCCAGAGAAAATTATCAATGCCTGTATCGATCATACAGCTAGATTTGCATATTAACAGGTACCTTTAGAGATATTTCTATTCATTTTCTTCTCATTTGTAGATCTGTATATCAGAAAAGCGTTAAGAGGGTATAAAATCATCTCATTTACTCTTTTTTATTACAGAAATAATATTGATTCATACTGTATTTTAGATGTTCCTTATTTATAAGAAAATTTTCCATAAATATGCTGTCCTTATAGAATGAGTATCTAAATTTCACAGTGTTAAATATAAAAGTTTAGTTTTTTGCTGTTGTTTTTCAAAATGCACATTGGTGGCATTTAATGTACAAAGCTATTTGTACATTGACTGTATATTTTATAAACATGTAATAAACTGTCTCTGAATTGTTCATATATAAGTTGAGTGCTTTAAAATATCTTCTGTCCACTCGAGAAATTATTTTATTATGCAAACACAACAACTATCACCCATAGTATATAAATGTTAGATATTACCATTTCTATGCTCACAATCAGTCCGATTATCTGAGATTTCAATCTGAGCCAACCAATACCCTATCATCTTAGGATTCCTACAAACCTCAAATCAAAAGCCAAGAAGCACTGCCTACCAAAAATACCTCTGTGTATATATACTTTATTCACCCACACTCTTTGAGAGAAAAGTCAGGACTTGACTTTACAATAAAATGGACTCCATAGGCATAGCAATATTCTCCCTCTCCAGTGCCCCTGTTTTTGAAGCCAGTAAAACTTTGCTTTTATATAATCCCTTTTCCATATCCTTACTTTTTTAAAAACATAACACACTGTTAGGATTTATTCCAAAAGAAAAATAAATTTAATGGCAAAATACTGCAATGTGATGAGTACCATGAGAGGGGATTCCATACAGCAACAAGCTTCCATCCAGACACTGAAGTTCCATTAAATGGAATTATATCAATATATATTTATAGGGAAGATTTTGACTTATTAGTTAGTTAACTGAAACCTTGTCTTGTTTTCAAGACAAAAAAAGAAACTCATATCCAAAAATAAATGTTACACTTCCTGAGTTTGTTCATGGGGTTGCCTTTCCCCACCTGACCCCACACACACCCTGAATACGCCTTTCCAGATACCTAGCACTGTGTCTCCTCATTGTTGGTCTCCCTGCTCCTTCATTAACCAGGAGTTCCTCATGGATAAAGACCAAATCTTACATCTGTGTGTACTGGACGCTAATCCATCCAATGTCTAATACATTTATTTAATAGATGGACAGTTGAACAGTATATAGAAGATGAACTGCTGATAGCAAGATATTTAGAAGTCATCAGGGAAAGGGAAATGACTGATTTGTTCTAACATTAGTAGAGTCAAAAGGGGAAAGACTTAGAGTCAAGTTTTTATGGAACTAAATGTCCAAGTTAGTTTGTGGAATCTCCGTGATTAGGGTATTTAAAAGTAGGCTTGTTGGCCATGAACCAAAGAACTAAGACCTCTCCAAGCTCTGTGATACTTTTATCATTTTAATAGCTGCTTTGGACACCTTGTTCAGGTGCACACTCAGACAAACCTGGATGGAGCCAATAGTCAGGGAAGGAAAAGAGGAGGGAGGTTTCTCTAATCTAGCAGAACTCTCTAAAGTCTTCCACTCCAGAATTTATGACCCCAGAGGTAAAAGGAAAGTTTCTCTGACACTTGGTAAAGGGAGTAGTAGAGACCTTTAATGGAATCCAGAAAAAGTTAATAGTAAATTCTGAGCATTGACTCCAATGCTCAGAATTTCTAGAATCATAGAATTTTAAAATTGAAAGGGACAATGGAAAATATCTGATCCAACGTCTCCACCATGCAGATGAAAAATCTGAAGCTCAGAATGCTGCATATGACCTTGTCATGGATATAGCTTAGATCTCTATGATGTCTTAATGACCAGGTATGTCTCCTGACATGCAGGTAGCTCAAGCCATTTATGACCCAGGCAACTCTAGAATGGAGGGATATAAGTTTAAGGATGTAACAGGTACCTCTCTAGAATAATACCATCTCAGAGAAATAGAATGCAAGCCATGAATGAGAACCATATATGTCATTTTTAATTTTCTAGTAGCCACATTAAAAAGGTTAAAAAAAAAAAAAAAAGCCAGGCATGGTGGTATGCATCTATGGTCCTAGCTACTCAGGAGGCTGAGATGGGAGGTTCGCTTGAGCCCAGGAGTTCAAGGCTGTAATGCACTATGTTCATGCCTATGAATAGCCACTGAACTCCAGCTTGGGCAACACAGAAAAACCCATCTTTAAAAAAAATAAATAAAAAATAAAAATATACAAAAAGGTAAAAAGAAGTGAAAATTTTAATAACATTTTATTTAACCCAATATATCTAAAATATTATTACTTCAACATATAAAGTATAAAAATTAATGAGATATTTTATTTTCTCATTACACTTCAAAATCCTGTGTGTGTTGTACATTTATAGAACGTCAGTTCAGACTAGCTACATGTGATAATAGCTTCCCTACTGGAAAGTACAAGTCTAGAATTTGATAAAAGAACTGCAAGCACTTGGGTACTGGAAGTTTTCTCTAAAAGTATAGGAAAAGCAAAGATGCTAAGAAATATTTTTGTGGACTGAAAGGGTATTTGTCTTTTTTGAACTCTCTGACCTGCCTTCATGTGAAATAATCAGAGGCTTTAAAAAAAAAAAATTAAGGAGTTTTCCATAACTCACCTCAATCTCTGGCACCAAGCTTCAGTTTTACAAACCAGTAACACTCTCTGCAGCTGCTTTCTTGCCACTCCCACTTTTCCAAAATGCTTCCCTTTCTTCAAGGCCCATCTTGAAGGCCACCACTACTACCCCCATCTCCCCACGAAGCTGTGCCAATCCCACTATGCACCATCACTGGCTGTGCTCAGAGAGTGCACGGGATTGTGCCCCTATCTCTTTCAGGACCCTGTCCTGCACAGTCCTCTACTTATGAACTTTCATGCTAAGAATTTTTACGGTTGCAAACAAAGCTGTTTATCAAAACACATGCATGGCTCTTCCTCTTGCTACCAACTGGCAGCACAAATAGTAGCTGGAGTAACACAACTTTGGGCTTTCAAACAAATGAACTTCGAATAGTCTTTTAGAACCTACACAATTTGTAAGGAGGGCAGCACCTGTGGATATTGATGACTTGTCTTGCCTCCACTGCTTTGGATGTCCAGGGGACTTTGGAATCCCCTGCAGAGCCTAGCCTGGTGTGGGCAGTGACGAGGGTTCTCCTTCACTCAGGGAGGCAGAGCACATAGTGGAAAGGGACTCCAGAGGCAGGAAGATCTGGTTTCCAATTCTAGCTCTGCCACTGACTACTTGTGTAATGTTTAGAATTTCAATTTCTCCTTGTTAATATGTGGATAACAACTTCTACTGCTTAGTATGACTATGTGAATTAAATCAGATACTGGAGGTAAAATGCCTGGCCCAGTCCAA